CTTAAGTACGTGGTTTGTTTTCAATCGTAATACATGATTGCAAATAAACCATGGAACGGGTGAGGTTTAAACCTACGGCGTGTGAGTCGTAAAACTTACTCGCACTGGCCTGGAATTTTACGACTCACTCGCCGTGGGTTCAGACACCACTTTATTTTGTGGTTTGCTGGTACCTGTTCTATATGATAGTCACATAGTGGGTAGTAGTAGCAGTAGTTACATTTATGGAGCACGTTGACTATGTAGGTAACTCAGCACTCAAAGACATAATAAGAACAAGGATAAAAATGAACCAATAATAAAAACAACGAACGTAAGTACATAACACAACTACCATCATACCAAGTTAAAATAACCAACATCAATAACCCCTCTCCCCCCCCCCAAGTAAATTGTCAAATGACTTTCTCCAACACTTCCGCAAGCTCCCTACGGGCACCTCAGTAATTATAACAACCACGACGATAGAGAACAGCTCTAAGCCGTAGGCAGATTGTTAAAATGTGATCCACAGTTAACAGCACGTCGCCAGATGCACAGAGGTGGACAGGAGCACCAGCAAACAGGTAGCTATGAGTGACATGTGTGCTCGATCCTCAGTCTACATAAATTCTTTTCAAGGTGACGATTCCTGTTGAAGGAAGACTAAACACCCACGTCCTGCCGAACCCTGTATAACTTGTTCCTGGTCTGCAGAGTCAGTTACACAGTGGGAACAAAAGCTACCTAGGTTAAGGTGACTCAGTGTCGGTGAAAGGGAACAGGAGCATTAAGTAGCTACCTGGGTATTAGTCGACTGGTGAAGCTCGTATCCTGGGGAGCACAAGAATCAAAGGGGCCTAGTGGAAACAAGTCACACTGCTTGGCTTTATTGTTATCCTGGGTACTAACCCGCCGGGTTAATGATCCTAATAATATCTTATAGAAGGTTTTTCTTAATCTGTTTTTTCAGCCATAAATAATGTAGAAAAAATTCTACCCATGTTATAATAACCAGAGATAACACTAGCTGTTCCGTCGTCATAGCAACCACTGGGAGAGATGATACTAGCTGTTCCGTCGTCATAGCAACCACTGGGAGAGATGATACTAGCTGTTCCGTCGTCATAGCAACCACTGAGAGAGATGATACTAGCTGTTCCGTCGTCATAGCAACCACTGAGAGAGATGATACTAGCTGTTCCGTCGCCATAGCAACCACTGGGAGAGATGATACTAGCTGTTCCGTCGTCATAGCAACCACTGGGAGAGATGATACTAGCTGTTCCGTCGTTATAGAAACCAGTGAGAGATGATACTAGCTGCCCCACTGTTATAGCATAAAACAAGGTGTACCATCGTCATACTAACCAGTTAGGGCAGCTACATATATGAGGTATCATAACTCTGGAGACAGTACACTTAAGAAGTCTGTTAATTTTCACACCAGAAATACAAAAATATAAAAAAAAAAATCTCCTCAATATGTATATCCAAAATAATAAAGTCCAGCGGAAATCTACTGAGAAGTGACAGTTTATGATACCACGAAGGGATAAGAGGAGTGACAACACGAGAGACGACGTGCTTGATACACCGGATAGACGGACATAACTGCTATAGATAATGCACACACTGTACAACGTTACTTGCCTCACCCTTCACCGCACCATTGTTTTTACCTGAAGCTTGGAAAGCTAACATTGACATTGTTTTAGAAATAATATTACCTTGGCAAATATCGTGCGTGAACTAGGCTGATAAGGTTTATATGTGATAAATGGTTTAGAAAACCGACATAAGAACATAAGAACATAAGAAAGGAGGAACACTGCAGCAGGCCTGTTGGCCCATACTAGGCAGGTCCTTTACAATTCATCCCACTAACAAACATTTGACCTACCCAATTTTCAATGCTACCCAAGAAATAAGCTCTGATGTGCAAGTCCCACTCAAATCCAACCCATCCTACTCATGTATTTATCCAACCTAAATTTGAAACTACCCAAAGTCCTAGCCTCAATAACCCAACTAGGTAGACTGTTCCACTCATCAACTACCCTATTTCCAAACCAATACTTTCCTATGTCCTTTCTAAATCTAAACTTATCTAATTTAAATCCATTACTGCGGGTTCTCTCTTGGAGAGATATCCTCAAGACCTTGTTAATATCCCCTTTATTAATACCTATCTTCCACTTATACACTTCGATCAGGTCTCCCCTCATTCTTCGTCTAACAAGTGAATGAAAACTTAAGAGTCTTCAATCTTTCTTCATAAGGAAGATTTCTAATGCTATGTATTAATTTAGTCATCCTATGCTGAATGTTTTCTAACGAATTTATGTCCATTCTGTAATATGGAGACCAGAATTGAGCTGCATAATCTGGGTGAGGCCTTACTAATGATGTATAAAGCTGCAGTTGACCTCTGGACTTCTGTTGCTTACACTTCTTGATATAAACCCCAGTAATCTATTTGCCTTATTACGTACGCTTAGGCATTGCTGTCTTGGTTTAAGGTTACTGCTTACCATAACCCCCAAGTCCTTTTCGCAATCTGTATGGTTAAGTTTTTACATTATTTAACTTATAAGTGCTAGGGTTATGGACACTCCGAGCTTCAGAACCTTGCATTTATCTACATTGAACTGCATCTGCCACTTTTTTTGACCAAGAGTAGAGTTTGTCTAAAACCTCCTGAAGTTCCTAACATCTACGTTTGAATCAATTATCCTACCTATCTTCGTGTCATCGGCGAATTTGCTCATATCACTAGTAATTCCTTCATCAAGATCATTGATATATATTATAAACAACAACGGGCCCAAGACTGATCCCTGTGGAAAAGCCACTTGTTACTGATCCCCACTCGGATTTAACCCCATTTATGGACACTCTTTGCTTCCCGTCTGTGAGCCATGATTCGATCACGAGAGCACCCTTCCCCCAATGCCATGAGCTGCTACTTTCTTCAACAGTCTTTGGTGCGGAACTCTATCAAATGCCTTACTAAAATCTAAGTAAATAATATCAAATTCTTTATCGTGGTCAACAGCCTCAAAAGCTTTACTGAAGAAAGTTAATAAATTAGTTAGACAAGACCGGCCTCTTGTGAATCCATGCTGAGTATCATTAACAAGTTGCTTATCGAGAGGGCTTTTAAATCTCGCTAAATTTGGGGACTCTAGTAATTTGCCTACAATTGAGGTAGGCTTATTGGGCGGTAATTTGACGGTAACGCTTGCCCCTTTTTTAAAAAAATAGGAATTAATTAGCCATCTTCCCATATCAGACACTGCCCCTGTTTAAAGAGTTAAAAAAAAAAATATTAGAATGGTTCACGACTTCCATTTTGCTTCTTAAAACCCCTTAAAAAAACCCTCGGACCCGGTGTCTTTTTTTGCTTCAGTCTGTCTATTGCTTCACAACCTTTCATAGTGACTGTGATGTTACATAATTTATCTTCTTTTGACCACTAAAAAAATTTAAATTCCCGGAATTTTATTAGTGTCTTCCTGTGTAAAACCCCGAGAGAAAAAAAATTTTTTAAAATCGAGACTTTCTTCTCTTTGTCAAAAGACCCCTAGTTTTTTTTAAAGGGGCCCTTTTATTCTGAATTTTTTTCTATAGCCCTGGAAAAAATTTTTTTGGGTTGTTTTAAAATTTTTCAAACGGAATGCCTATCCATGACCTAATCTGGCTACCCCCAAAAACAAAAATGTTTTTACCTTCTTGGCGTCGTCCGTAGTGATGCTCCGAGTAGTCGCTCCATTCGCCGGTAGCATTACCCATTTGTAGAATTCGTCATGACTTTTCCGATGGTCTTGTTGGGGTTTTAGGGATGTCTCACTCAGTTCCCAATGTTCCTTGGTGTGTTGTGGTTCCAGTGAACACTCACATTCGTCGGGTACCCCGAGAATGGTTGGAAGTTTCCCGGCAGTCTTCTGGTTTCTCGTTGTTTCTCCCTCTTAAACCTTTTCTTAATCTTCAGTTGGTTCATGTTCCCCGGCCATGACAAACTCCCCTCTTAAACCCGGGGACTCAAAAAGGGGAATTTTACGAATCTCTTGTTCTCCTCCCTTAATCGCCGATTCCAGTTTAGCAACTCTGAGTTCTTCTCTCAGCTGGGTAAAGTGCTCAGAGAGGGCTTTCCCGGTTCAGATTTACAGAGAGCACACAAACGGTCTTCAAGAGCTAATACACGTCACCCCTGAAGTACACGTCACCCCTGAAGAATGAGATATGTGCAAAAAATTTGGGAATCTTTATGGGGAAATCATTTCGCCCGTCAATGGCTTCTTCACTCCCAAAACAAAAAAAAACGGTGGAGGAAAAGGAGTAGCTACAGGTAATCAGTCCCTCAGCCTGGAGTCGATGTGTTCAGCCTAACTTGACGGATTGAATACAACGACTCCAGGCTGAGGGACTGATTACCTCAAACTACTTCTCTTCTTCCACCGTTCTTATTTGTACTGGACTGAAGAAGCCAGTGACTAGCGAAACGTTTCCTCAATAAAGATTCCCAAGTGTTACACAAGTGTCTCAGTCTTCAAGGTAACTATGGACGGTGATCAAGGCACGGAATTAACTCTCCGTGAAAGTTCCGTGCCTGGCGTTATGTTAACCGTGTTTGCTGGAGGGTTCCTTTATTTTGAAGTGCTAAAATATTCCTTTCTGCTGGTATAATTCAAGTTTCTCTAATCTAAAATAATACATGGTCCTCTGCTACAGTAATTTCACGTTCCTTCTAAAATAATTAAGTTTCTGCTGGAGTAATTAGCAGTTCCTCACCTATGTGACGAACGTGTCCAGGTAGATGTAACTTTGTGACACACACCCGTGTAACGGAGGAGTCAGGGACGGAGGTGTCTGGAGATGTGTGACCTTGTGGCACTCACCTATGTGACAGAGGTGTTGCGGCAGGTGTGAATATAACACTCACCTGTGTGACGGAGGTGCCAGGTGTGACTGACACTCACCTGTGTGACGGAGATTCCAGGAGTGACTGTGACACTCACCTGTGTGACGGAGGTGCCAGGAGGTGTGTCCTCGGGGATAGCTTTCCTGTAGAGGGCACGGTCGAACTGGGGTGCGTGATCGTTGACGTCAGCTACATAGACCACGGCGGACACCTCGCTGCTCAGTGGACGCTCGCCCAGGTCAAACGCCTCAACCAAACAACATCAAATTAATATACAAAATATCGATCCTAGACGGAAATGTTCTAAATTAAAAAAATAACAAAAAATACTATGAGACGAGTATGATACGTGTATAGCACTAAGATATCTTTACTGTCGAAATATTTCGCCTACTCAGCCGGGTTTTTCAGTAGAATACAGACAAATATAAGTGAAATCTCCAGCTCGGGCGAAACGTTTCGACAATACAGAGAAATAAATGCTGCACATGTAAAAACATAAGAATAAAGGAACACTGCTGGGCAAGAGACGTAGTGACCCATGCAAGGCAGGTTCAACTCATACTCGACCATCAACTTGCCAGCACTGTTTAACATTTATTATACCAATTAATATTATGTATTCCAGTGAACGTTATGTACTGAATTAAAATTGTTCATATTATATATATTGTTTAATATTATATATTTCAATGTTACTATTATTATTATTATTATTATACTAAACATTAGTTAAAATATTTCACAGGTACGATAAAATACGGAGTCCATATATTCAACGTAAACGATATTTAGCAGCACTGTGGTAACCATCGCTACGAGGATACACACAGTATATATCCACCACGTGGATATATGCTGTGGATATATTATCCAAACCCCTTAAGGGGCGAGGGACACAAGCATTAAGTCATACTAGAAATGTAAAAATACATATTATTCAACAAACGTTTTTATGTGAGAACGTTTCGTTCTAAATATAGGTTTATCAAGTCTATAAACCTGATAATGTAATGTCTCGCTGCAGTAAATTTTTCCGAGTCTTAATTTGTCATTCTCTCAACACTGACTAGGATAAGACAATATACGGACGAGTATAAATAAGGTTACATAGAGACTGAGTGTATCTCTTGAGTGCAGCCTGTGGTCAGCAACAGTTGTGTAGATCATTGAGTAAGATCATGGTGTAACAAAGACCATAACATATTGTTTATTTGCTCAAAACGACGCAAAATAAACACCCTTTACACACACACACACACACACACACATACGCCTATACACCGCAGACGGAGTATAGGCTAGATGGACAAAGACTGCAAACCTCGCTCAAGGAGAAAGATCTTGGGGTGACCATAACACCGAGCATGTCTCCGGAAGCACACATCAACCAGATAACTGCTGCAGCATATGGGCGCCTGGCAAACCTGAGATTAGCGTTCCGATACCTAAGTAAGGAATCTTTCAAGACACTCTACACCGTGTACGTCAGGCCCATACTAGAGTATGCAGCACCAGTTTGCAACCCACACTTGATCAAGCACGTCAAGAAATTAGAGAAAGTGCAAAGGTTTGCGACAAGGTTAGTTCCAGAGCTAAGGGGAATGTCCTAAGAAGAAAGGTTAAGGGAAATCGGCCTGACGACACTGGAGGACAGGAGGGTTAGGGGAGACATGATAACGACATACAAAATACTGCGTGGAATAGACAAGGTGGACAAAGACAGGATGTTCCAGAGAGGGGACACAGAAACAAGGGGTTACAATTGGAAGTTGAAGACCCAGATGAGTCAAAGGGATGTTAGGAAGTATTTCTTCTGTCATAGAGTAGTCAGGAAGTGGAATAGCCTAGCAAGTGAGGTAGTGGAGGCAGGAACCATACATAGCTTTAAGATGAGGTATGATAAAGCTCATGGAGCAGGGAGAGAGAGGACATAGTAACACTCAGTGAAGAGGCGGGGCCAGGAGCTGAGTTTCGACCCCTGCAACCACAATTAGGTGAGTACACACACACACACACACACACACACATGTTCCAGGGAGGGGACACAGAAACAAGAGGCCACAATTGGAAGTTGAAGACACAAATGAGTCAGAGAGATAGTAGGAAGTATTTCTTCAGTCATAGAGTTGTAAGGCAGTGGAATAGCCTAGAAAATGACGTAGTGGAGGCAGGAACCATACACAGCTTTAAGACGAGGTTTGATAAAGCTCATGGAGCAGGGAGAGAGAGGGTCTAGTAGCAACCGGTGAAGAGGCGGGGCCAGGAGCTAGGACTCGACCCCTGCAACCACAAATAGGTGAATACAAATAGGTGAGTACACGCACACGCATATACAACAGGCCTAGTGTCTAATCGACATGTGCCTAGGACAAAATGGTAACACACACACACACACAAATACACACACCACACACAAACCACACCCACACACACACACACACACACACACACACACACCACACACACACACACACACACACACACACACGCACACACAACACACACATGCATGCATGCTTATAAGGAATTATTAGGTATTCAAGAGACACTGTGCACCTTGTACGTCAGGCCCATACTGGAGTATGCAGCACCAGTATGGAACCCACACCTGGTCAAGCACGTCAAGAAATTAGAGAAAGCGCAAGATTACAACAAGACTAGTCCCGGAGCTGAGGGGTATATCCTATGAGGAAAGGCTAAGGGAACTCAACCTGATGACACTGGAAGACAGGAGGGATACGAGGGATAAGAAGTATTTCTTCAACCTTATAGGTGTCAGGAAATGGAACAGTCTATAGAGTGTAGAAGTGGAGGAGGGATGCATACATAGCTTTAAGAAGAGGTACGATAAGGATCTTGTAGTCAGATTATTATTATAAAAAAGAAGCGCTAAACCACAAGGACTCTTGTAGTCAGAGAGTGAAGGGGCCGGACCAGGAGCTGTGAATCGACCCCTGCAACCACATATAGGTAAGCACATATGGGTGAGTGAATACACACAAAAAGTTGTTCAAAGAACTTGACAGGATGGAAAGAGATGGACTACACAGGAAGCGGAAAACGGGTACACGAGGGCACACTATTAAGTTACAATTATAGATGAGTTCAGGGGATATCAGGAGTAATTTCTTCAATCTTGGGATGGTCAGGAAGAGAAATGACTTGAGGACGCGGACGCGGTTAACCTCCAAGAAGATATAAACAAAGTTTTCCAGTGGGCAACGGTAAACAATATGATGTTCAATGAGGACAAATTCCAACTACTCCGTTATGGAAAACTGGGGGAGATAATAACTAGAACAGAGTATACTACTGACTCCGGCCATACAATAGAGCGGAAAAATAATGTAAGGGACCTGGGAGTAGTAATGTCTGAGGATCTCACTTTCAAGGATCACAACAGTGCCACGATCGCACGTGCAAAGAAAATGATAGGATGGATAATGAGAACTTTCAAAACGAGAGATGCCAAGCCCATGATGATCCTTTTCAAATCACTTGTTCTCTCTAGGCTGGAATACTGCTGTACATTAAATTCTCCATTCAAAGCAGGTGAAATCGCAGATCTAGAGAGTGTACAGAGATCCTTTACTGCACGTATAAGTTCTGTCAAGCACCTTAACTACTGGGAACGCTTGGAAGCACTTGACTTGTACTCGTTTGGAACGCAGGAGGGAGAGATATATCATAATCTACACTTGGAAAATCTTGGAAGGAATGGTCCCAAATCTGCACACAGAAATCACTCCCTACGAAAGTAAAAGACTGGGCAGGCGATGCAAAATGCCCCCAATAAAAAGTAGGGGCGCCATTGGTACACTAAGAGAAAACACCATAAGTGTCCGGGGCCCAAAACTGTTCAACAGCCTCCCATCAAGCATTAGGGGAATTGCCAATAAACCCCTGGCTGCCTTCAAGAGAGAGCTGGACAGATACCTAAAGTCAGTGCCGGATCAGCCGGGCTGTGGCTCGTACGTTGGACTGCGTGCGGCCAGCAGTAACAGCCTAGTTGATCAGGCCCTGATCCATCGGGAGGCCTGGTCATGGACCGGGCCGCGGGGGCGTTGATCCCCGGAATAACCTCCAGGTAAGAAGTGATGTAGGAACACTCCATACACAGTCTCAAGAGCAGGTATGACAAGACTCAACAGATCATCAACCAGCAAATGCTGGATTTTTTTTTATTTAGCGAAGTTGGATACATCAGCAGTGTGCTGCTGCTACCCTGAAAAAAGGGTGCCCAGAGCAGTCTCTCGGCCCTGACCCTCAGCAAACAGTATTCTCCTCTCTCTCTCTCTCTCTCTCTCTCTCTCTCTCTCTCTCTCTCTCTCTCTCTCTCTCTCTCTCTCTCTATCACACACACACAGGGATATTAGGAAGTGTTTCTTCAGTCGTAGAGTTGTCAGGAAGTGGAATAGTCTGGAAAATGAGGTGGACACAAGAACCATACATAGCTTTAAGAAGAGGTATGATAAAGCTCATGGAGCAGGGAGAGAGTGGACCTAGTAGCGATCATTGAAGAGGCGAGGCCAGGAGCTATAAATCAACCCCTGCAACCACAGTTAGGCGAGGTGAGTACACACACACAAACACACACACACAGTAGGCTTCATATACGCTGCATCATACAGAGAACACAACAGGATTCACTAGAAGTGAGATTCCAGAAAGGTTACGCTACACAAGTGCGTCACACGGGTGGTGAGTCAACACCTTGGCCACCCTCTAGGTCTAGGGGCACGGCCACCCTCTGGGGCACGGCCACCCTCTAGGGGTACGGCCACCCTCTAGGGGCGTGGCAGTTTGGGACCATAGAGCTGGTAATGATGGGAGTAGGAAGTGGGAATGGGATAAGATGAAACACTGAAATAGGATAAGGGTGTCTGAACATGAGGGAGTTACCTAGATATACAGTGACGTGGGCACACTGCTTATTCTGTTATCACTGCTAACCACCACCCGTTGATGAAAGACTGTTGACCCGAGGAATGGCAACTACCGCATTTTCCTCAGATGCAACTTGATTAACAGCACGAGAATAAAGAGCACATTCATGTGCCCATCCAGTCTATATTTACAGCTTATCTAACTTGATTAGGTTAGATAAGATTCGTCAGGAAACAAGGCAAGTGTTTCCTGACGCGGGTCTTAGTCATATGATGACCCACAACAGATCTTTTGGTCATCCTACCGAGGCCTTCCGCTGGCTTACCGGTCCACCCCTTTTAAAATTAAGTCTTCTTA